CAATCATTCTTTCACCATTAAAAAGCTACGTTACCACTGAGTAACATATGCTATATTTTATTATTGTTTTAATTTTACGGGGACGAAATCGCGAGCAACAACTAGTTTGTAATACTAACGTAATTTCATGTTGAATCGTAGAAGATAATAGCATTTTTTCCTTACGTTAGGCGCAAGTAATTGTAAAAATTGCATTAACTCGGTAATACGTTACGCCACGTATTATGTTGGCGCGTTGTTACTGTTAACGTAGCTTTCTGTTTTCACGGCCTGTTAGCCGCCGGTTGCGGCCGCACTGCACATCCTCCATTTGTATGAGCATCCGGCGTGGATTTCACAAAGTATCCTAGTATGTACTAAATATTCTACACTAGTATTTAAAATAAAACGATATGAAAACTGCATAAGTGATTATCGTCTTGACTTAACAAATGTTATAATTTGTTTATCTGCAAGCTAATTTAAATAATTCTTTTTTTTAACAACGTAAAATATTGCCGTTATACATTTTTTCTTAAATTTGTAACCTTTGCTACCTTGACTAGATTGTTCCGTCTTGTCTTGTCTCCAAGATTTTTTTTTGACAGTCTAACTAACGGTGTTATTAAATAACATTTGCTAGTTGCCAGTAATACATATAACCGTGATTTCTTTTATTCAAAGGTGACACAGTTAACTTTATAACGCACTGAGTGTCAAAGACCTCAGAACTGGATAGACCAGTTCATTGCGAAATTGGTCACAGACAGGCCTTCGACAAACTAGTTCTTGTTACTACAGGACCTGGAAAATGTAATATATCTTACGTTCTCTATGCTATTACATTTTATGTAATTTCTATGTTTATTTGCGCTATATTTAGTTCAATTATTGTATCTAGTAATATTATTTCTAAACTGTATTTATTTCTTTAAATTATATAAATCACGTATGGGTTTTTATAGTCCTTGAAACATTTGAATAAATCGAAAAAAAAAAGATTATAGATTAAAAAAGTAATTTGAACCGGTGGGTATAAGTCCAATGAAATTATGATAACTAGTGACCTCTGCTGGTGTTAAAAAGTAGCACAAAATCATTTTCGTACTGGAAGTTATGTTCGATGTGTTTTTGTTTATGCCATTTCCTATGTTGCCGGCCTTATTATGTTAACATAGAATTACAGCAATAGCGGCGTTGCACTATATTAAAATGTGGTATTAAAAAAACAAAATTAAGTAGCCTATGTGTTCTTCCAGGCTTCTTTTCATCTATGGTAAATTTCATAAAAATCTCTTCAACCGTTTAGGCTAAAAACTCTTACAAACATCCATCCAAACTTTCGCATTTATAATATTAGTATGATTTCTAGGCTACGCTAAGAAGTATTTATCAGTAAAAAATAATATTAACCGGTAACCTTTACTGTTCCACTTTTTGTGCAACTCAGTGTACTGTATTTGTCTTGCTACAATTTATATTGCGTAATAATTACTTTCAGAACTGTCAGTTGTTAAGTTGGGTTTAATCAAATTGTGATAAGCATTGCGTAACTTAACGATTTATTAAATTTATGTTTCCTTATTAAATTTATTATCACAAAATTGAAATTCAAATTGTAAACTGTTTTTGACATAACTTGTTTTTTATATTTGTTTTATGAAATAAACTTTTTTATTTTGATTGCAATTGCATAAAGCTAATTTATAAAAATCCATCTATATCTATACTTCTATACTAATAAAATAAAGCTTGAACACACACTTCTTTGTGGCGTAGGATGTCAGCAATCACAACACAATTTTGAATAATTCTTTCTTTAATAAAGAGCCCTACACTTACGTTACGCTTTAGGCTATGTATTTCACGCTATTAAACTTAGGGGTAAATATTTCAAACCCTATTGTGGGAAAGAGACCATAAGTTGCTGCCAACATCACGGAAGCAAGGTTGCCATGGTTTGTCATCATGTCATGTTGACATTTGCCATTGATAATTTAACACATGTTAAAAATAAAATTAGATTTTCATAATTTTATGCGGATGAAGTCGCACGGGAACTGCTAGTATAAGATAAAATCAATGTTACATGTTGCAAGCGGATATTTGACCGCATTATCTCATTAAATTGTTAAGCCTCACTATAACCTAAATAAAAGCTTTAATTTTAAAACCATAAATGACGTCATTTTTATGCACATGATTGCGTCATTTTAATTATTGTAATTGAAAAGATATGAATAAAAAAAACACAGATTTTATCCAGATAATATAACAGCATTTAACAGTGGTAGTGCCCGCTTTAACATCTTAGCACTGCAGGGCCGGCACGCCCGGTGTAATACCACGACCACACAGAAGACAGGCGTGAAATGGAAACAATTCCGTGTTTCGTCTGATGAGTGTGGTGCCGGAGGCCTAATTTAAGTCCCTTTCTCTTTACCACCCTTTTCTTGTTAAAAAAGGTTGGGAAGAGGAAGTGGATTTGACAGTGGAGGAGATGCATAGGAAGGGGAAATATTCTCTTTATGTGCGTCTCCTCCTCCGTCGGATAAGGGTAGGCAACGCATCCGCAATTGCGGATGTCTATGGGCAGCGGTCGCTTCGCCACTTTGGCGATTTCAGGTGACCGCTTGCTCGTTTGCCACCTTATGTTAGAAAAAAAAAATTCTAAATAATATTTAAAAAAAAGTCCTTGTCTAAAAAAAACGCAATTAGAAATTTATATTTATTATATTAAAAATTCTTTCATTCGACACTCTATTAGAACAGTAACTCTTTTTAAACAAAAATTAAATTTTTATATAGAAAGAATTCAATTATTAAAGAATTTTTCACTATTTTTACAGTTCCGTGCTCCCCTCACTGGATCGGTTTCTTCTATTGACACCCCTCTGTTTTACGCCTTTGGAACCTTTTAATGCTCACGACACGACAACGATACGACCTATTTTATTTTTATTTCATGTGTCGATGTAATGATCAACGTGCATTGATAAGAATTAAAAACAGACGATTACTGTATAATTAAGCTGTGTTTTAACTAAAAAAAAATAAGCCTGTCTCACCACTCGCTGATAGGGACTCAGATAGCTTAAAAATGACGTAACTGTCAAATAAGGTAACAAAATCCGATATTTCCATCAAATATTTTACATGTTGGATTGTTATCAGACAATTTACAATTTTGTGGGACAGGACCTTCGGTGTATGTTAAAATGTTGATAAAAGTTGTCGCCTAGACATGATTGTTCTTATAGCTTGGAGTTTTAAGTTACTTTTAATTTACCATTTTCTATTTATGCGTACACTAGTGTTTTGAATTATAGTCAATGCCGTTTAAGTTTTATAATAAAAAAAAAACTATCTTGAGGTATAAATGTCCTTCACAAACTCATACCGGCGTTAGTACGTGTAATTCCACTCCTTTCTATATGTTTTACATTCTTCCCGTGTCCCGAGATTGTGCTTCAACTAAGAGCCGCTTTTTTCCCGAACATTCCTCGTTAAATTCAAACAGAAAATGGAATTTTTCACGTTCCAATAGTTACTATTGTTGAAAATTCAATAAAACCCTTTTTATAATTGATTTCTACCAGTGTTTCAGTAACTTTGGTCCTAATCATCGTTGGTTATAAAGATAAACTTAGGAATAAACTGAGAATAAGCTAATATTAGTACATTTACAAGTTTACACTTTACACCGTGTTTATTTGTAAGGTTGTTTAGATTTTAAATTTAACGCCATCTAGTGGCAATATAATTAAACTTGTTGTAAATCAATATTTAACGTTGTATAAAGCAGGCTATACAAATTATAGACACGTACAAATGGTATGCAGTTAGTCAAGTCAATGACGAAACCAATATAGCTGCAACACCGGCACTAACCGTATCATTTTACAGTATTGTCAATACATTATCGTGTTGGTATAATATTGCGTTGCAAATTGTTGAATAAA